AAGAACCTGTCTAAAACTCATCCACATATCAGCCTCCACGTTCGTCATGCCTCACATGAGACTGCACCTCAGATGTGTACACCCCAAACAGACAGTCTCTCCACCAGCATCACAGTACCTCAAAGTTCTGGAATCTCTCCAGTGGTGGAAGGAGCCACTGAAGGTCTGTGTGAGAACCCATTCTCAGATCCCCCATCTTCAAAGATTCTCACAACAGATGCTCCTCTTCTGGGATGGAGGGGAGAGGTCTCACCGCCAAGGGAAAGTGGTCTGCACAAGAGGTCACTCTCCATATCAACATTCTGGAGCTGAGCAGTTTATGCATGCCAGCATTTCCTTCACATAATACAGGGTCACTCCATCAGTGTGTGTGTATATATATTTATGTACGTATGTATGTATTAACCAACAGGGTAGAGCAAGATCCCAGTCTTTATGTGCAGAGTTGCTAAGGCTATGGAACTGGCACATTTCCCATTAGATAGAAATCTCAGCTATCTGTCTTCCAGGTCTCCAAAATACAATTGCAGATACTTCCTTCAGGGTCACAAATAAAAACTCAATGGTTCTATCTTCCACAGAATTTGCCAGACTTGGGGCTCAGCAGAAACAGACTTCTTTGCCACTCCGAATAATGTGAAATGCTGTCTTTTCTGCTTCAAGGGAGGATATGGCCACAACTTATTGGGAGATGTCCTCATAACACTCTGGGACCCATATCCTATTGTAGGCTTACCTGCTTTTACCTCTACTCCTCAAGACCTTACTCAAACAGTGTCAGGAAAGACTGTCATCCTCCTAGCACTGTCTTGGTCAAGACAAGTGTGGTATTCAAACCTCCTTCATCTCTCTGTGGCAATGCCTCTCAGGAAGGAGCTCATGTTGCAAAACCCAGGGACCCTGATCTATCACAACTACTCCTTCTTGAACCTGTGAGCATGGTTCCTAGATCGCTCTTGAACATGGAACTAACCTGTTCAGATATGGTCCAGTCAGTTCTCCTATTTAACAGGAAACCAAGTACTCGCAAAACTTACCTTCAAAGTGGAAATGCTGCTTCCACTCCTGGTGTTCCCTTCACTCTTCCCAAGCCTCAGCTGTTCTGCTCTCCAAAATCCTGGACTACCTGTTGGATTTAAAGATGCAAGTTCTATCATTGAGCTCAGAGTATATTTTGGCCATTATAACAGCCTTCCTCTCACCCATCAAAGGCTTCTCAGTCTTTGCCCACCCTACTACAGCTAGATTCCTCAAGGGCTTACAAAACTTGTTTCCCTCCCCCCCCCCATACAGAATCTGGCCCCTCAGTGGGACCTCAGTTTGGTTCTCTAGGCCCTGAGGAAACCTCCCTTTGAACTGATGGCTACCTGATCTCTCCTCCACCTCTCCCTCAAGACTTCATTCTCCATAGACATCGCTTCAGCTAGACAAATGGGAGAACACCGTGCTCTTATGGCTGACCCACTCTATGCCACCGTTTATAAAGACAAGGTAACACTGCACCCCATTCTCTCTTCCTTCTGAAGTTCTCTTTAGAATACCACATTAATGAAAAGATTTGCCTGCCAGAGTTCTACTCAAAACCTCATTCCTCTCAGAGACCAGTCTACATACGCTAGTTGTCAGAAGGGCCCTCACCTTCTACCTTGACAGGTCTAAGACCTTCTGGGCCTCTCCTAGGCTATTTGTATCATTTGAGAAGAGGATGAAGGATCAACCCATTTCCACTCAGACTTCAAAGGTGGGTTTCGAGTTGCCATTTTAACTTGCTATGTATCTAGTGGGATGCAGCCCCCTCAGAGAGAGAGAGAGAGAGGGAGAACACATTTCCCTCGAGCTCAGTACACATCTACAGCTCTATTGAAGGATAACAGAAATTTGTAGGGCTGCAAGTTGGCCTTCCCTTCATACTTTTGCCAAGCATTATGCCATCTTACCTGCTTCCAGGGACGATACTGCTTTTGGTGTCCTCAGCACCCTTTTCCTCTTCACTGAGTTACTGCTTGGGAGTTTCCTATGATGGAGCACCCATAGAAATATATACTGAAGGAGGAGGAGAGTTTATTTACCTTACAGTCACTTAAGTTCATTAAAGATGTTTCGTTGCTATGGGTGCTCCTCCTGCTCTCCTTCCTCTCAGCTGTGGAGGGTCTGCTTTTCAGTTGAGAAGGAAGTGAGTGGCGGTGGGTTCGCACCTCCCTTATGTCCTTACTTGGAGGCAAGAAGTGCTGCTCTGCACAGGCACTGGCTTGTGGACACTGCTTTGCACTCTCCACTTGAGACCCCACAGGCACATTCCATCCCACAGCGCAGCACCCACAGGGACAAAACATCTAGAAGAACCTAAGTTACTATAAGGTAAGTAACTTTTCTCCTTCAAACCTTCAAAGCTGGCTACTGGAACACCCCCCACCCCGCCGCCAATAAAAAAATATATATTTCCCCCTCATTCTGATTTCTCCTTTCCCTCTACTGCAATCCCTGTCTCCATCTAAAGGGCTTTTAAATACTGCAGCTCATCTGTTACCTCCTTCCACCTCTGCCTTTCCCTACCTTTTTCCCTGTCAGGGAGAGGAAATGGTGATGGACTCCTGCTATTGGACAGATTCTACTCCAGACCTTCTGAGTCCTTCCTGCGGGACTACAAGCAGTAATAGTGCACAGATGGTTGGATGTCCCTTCATCTGCCTCTGGCAGGGCTAATCTGAAATTAGACTTGCCAGAGGCTGGCACGCTTCAGGCAGGCACCTGAAACCTTCCTCTGCATCTGTAACGCTGGCTGCCTGCAGCCCATGTACTGCAGTGATTTAGAAGGAGTGGAAAAGGCTCTGCTCCAGCAGGAGGAGTTCCCGCATGACATATCAGCCACACTTGGCAGTAACCTGCAGCACATAATCCATATCTAGATACTAGAGTGTCGTCATTAGTGGGTCTTACTATTTCTGGTATCCTGTTGACTTATGAGCTGCCATTTTTCTTTTAAAAAGGGAGGCAAAATTGCAAGATGAAGAAAATAGTCACATAGTATTTATGTGGGGCAAAAGTATCCGTGATGGCTGTTCACCCTGGATCAGACCTTTCCCGTTTTAATATCTATGTGCTTTGTGTAAATTCTTGTATAGGCTGCATACCAGATACCAATGGCATTGAAGTATATAGCATGAGATATAGTCTCAGATGCACTTAGCATCTCCAAGGCACAAAGTGCAATCAGCATTGGTTAAATTAAGACATTCAACTGATCACTATGTCGTCCTGCCTCTTTTATCTCCTCTACTGTTCTGAAGAAACGGGGCCTGGAGTCCTCAGTCTCCTTGTTGTCAGGAGATGAGGACAACTGTGGTTCCAGGAAAAAGGTGAGGATGCTCCCTTTAATGCAGAGTTGTTGTTTTTTTTTACTGTTTTACAGAAAATTAATGAAGTGTAGATGTCAAACACCATTTAAAGCAATGTGGGGCATGAGGACATCAAATCTGTGACATACACCAGCAACACTTGGTCTCATTGACCACCTCAAACTTGTGGAAGCAGAATTTGGGGTCTACTGCACCAGAGCAAAACTGATGAACAGTTTTGGTTCCCAAGTGAGATCCCTTATTCTGGATCACTCAAGCCAAGGACTTCTAGGCCTGTGGGAGCTACAAGATCAAGCATCCTAGTAAGTCCATTAATGGATGTGGAACCAAATGTCAAGAAAGGGAACTTGAGGAACATCCTATATGTTCTTAAAGATACACAGCCCCACAAACAATGCAGTTCATGAAAGATTTGGATTCAAAGTAAAGTAAATGGACAAAGGGTGCAGAATAGAAAATGTCAACTGCAGTTGTGCATTAACCAAATCCCAGGTAAGCGCCTTCATTCGTGGTCAGAAACTAATTGGGGGTTAGAGTTCTAAGACAAATTAATTCTGTTTGGAGAACAGGTCTGAGATGCTTTGTGCTAGAACTCATACATATGGGTATCTGTTGTGCTGAATATCTTTGCGGGGGGGAAGAGGAATTACGTTAGGATTATATTAATCCAATTTAACCAAACTTCAAAAACACTCTCAAAAACAGCTTCTTTTGGATCAAAGGTTTATTTTGAATGACACAACACTGAAAAACATAATAGTTTACAGATGATTTCTTGATACAGGATACATTATATACCTTATTTTAAAAGGATCTGTGGAGGTTTGCTGCATAAATACATATAGTGAAAATATATTGTTTGTTTTTGTCCTTCTTAGATATTTTTTGTTTTCATAATTCAGCCAATTAAAGTATAGATTAGCATTCTAACCACTCTATCCACACAATCTCAAACTATTGCAGCTAGAAATAGAGGAGACTGAGCCATGCCTTCCAATGCTTTAGCAGCTTTGAATGTGATAGTTATAATCGTTCATCTCAGAATGAAAATTTCACATTACAAACACAGATACTGTATAATGTTTTGGCAATGGAGCAGCTAGCTTTGTTTTGGAACAAAGCTATTTACTGTAATGCCAGACCTTGTAAGAGCAATGCATCTATTAATGATACTACAGAGTCAAAGAACTACAATGGAGGGTAACATGTTAATGCATATGTATCTGTATGCACTTATATACACACAAGCATATATGTGTATATATGTTCAAAAAAACCATTGAAAAACTTTGCAGCAGTTCATTTTTTTAAACACATAACTTAATCATTTGACCTCATTACTAAAGGATTACTAATAAAATCTTCTGTAGTGCAGCAAGTCAATACAATACACTTAGTGCAGAGAAGTTAAGGTTCTCGTAGTGAGGAGGCTAATTTTAGATTTCATGGGAAAGGATCAAATACAGGATCACCATAGCTCCGACAATGCACAAACAAACCTGTTGCCACATACGTGTGAACGAATAGGGACATTTCTCTTAATACATTTTTTCATATACTGCTTCAGACGATGCTAACTTAACTGTTTGCATTCATGCTCATTTGATATGTTTCACCAAGCTTTGTCTGGCACCAGTCTGTAAACCATTAGCAGTTTAACTACAAAAGTGGGTTCCTGTGTTTCAAAGAGATTTAAAAACCTACCGACTGAGCTTCTTATAACACTGTTATGCCTGAGCTGAGAACTACTCCAAGGGCTTTGTGAAGTTCTCTGGGAAAAGTCCCTTATAGGTTACTGCATCTCTGTACTGCAGCCAATCTGATTCTTTAATGCCTGTCAGCCAGCCAGCCTCCTGCAAGGTAAAAGGGAGAGTTTATAGGCAGACAGCATTTTATAGGTGCAAAATTGGAGGATGTGTTGAGGTCCTTTTAAAATTCATAGTGTTTAATATTAGGGGTGTGTGTGGGGGGGAACCTTTTAACCCCAACAAGCTAGAGAAAATACATGTTTTTCCTTTCCAATCACCCTAAATTCTCCTCTTTTTATGCAGGATAGTTCACTGTGGTTCCTATAGTGGAAGTTGGTGGTGGCAACAGTTCCTGGCTCTTCCACTATTAAAGTACTGTAAGATCCCCAAACCACATACCCATTACTTGAAACTTTTCCAAATATCCATGCTGAGGCAGACACCTGGCACTGAAAACTTCACACCAAATTATTACAGTTTGGCAATTAACTAACTGAAAGCAGGGTCTTACAGGGGCCAGTGTTGGGGAAACTTAACTTTCCGTGGTGCTAACCCACTCTGCTTATAATAAAATTAATTCAATGTCTTTCAAAATATATCCTCTGCTCTCAGCTCCAAATCTTTTTGGCTAGGTCAATGCTGCAGCTGAGAGTGAACCTCCCAGCCTGGGTAGACATCATACTTTAGCTATGCTCCAGCTAGCATGTTAAATAGCACTGTGGATGTTGCAGCTCCAGTGGAGACTTGGCCTAGCCCCCTGAGCTGCAGTGTCCACACTGTCAGCTAACATGAAGCAGTTCAACTGACCATGAAGAGGTCCATGAAATACAGTATATTGAACTGCTCCTATAACTTAGGGCAGCAGAGATTGCTAAGCAAATAGAGGGGAGACATTGAGACCTGTCCCAGCATCCATGAAAGAGACAAAAATAGATGGGGTGGAGGGGAAAAAGGAGATAGTGGGCCAAATTTTCAGTGTCTTCAACTACCATATAACTTTGCAACTACACTGTTGTTGTTTCACATGTTAGACTATAGCGGCGAGACCCACACAGATGACACAGAATTGCAGTGCCTAACTTTAGGCATCCTTCTGCCTAGTGGAATCCACAGCCCCTAGTTAGGCACCCAGGCTTCCTATACAATGAAGGAGGAGAGCCTGACCCCTAGGAATGGGATTCACAAACACCAGCATGCTGACGTCCCCAAGCCAGCCAGTAGGAAATGCCAAGGAGGGGTGTGCGGCCTAAGCCCTATCCCTAGCAAGGGACTAAAGGCTAGTCTATATAGGACTCACTACAGCAGCGAAGCTCTGCATGCTTTCACAAAATAAAAAAAGAGAGAGAAGAGGTGGTCTCTTATATCCATTGCTCAGTGGTGGGAGACCTATGGTCAAATCCCCACTGTGCCTGATTTGGAGTAGGAACTTGAACACAGGTCTCCCACCTCCCAGGAGAGTGCCTTCACCCTGAGCTAGGGGATATTCTGGGGTGGGGGTCTCTACTGTTCCACTTTGTATAAATAAATATTCATTGGGCCAAAGAGTGACTCTAAGTGCCTCAACCACTGGCTTTAGGTGGGAGATGAGGCTTCAAGTGCCTGCTCCACCTCAGATAGGGACAGGTGAGATCTGAACATGACTCTTCCCATATTGTGTGGGACTACTCAAACCACCGGGCTATGGGCTATAAGAGGACAATATCCTTCTACTGTGTTTTGTATGGGGCCCAATCCGATAGAGATGCACTCCGGCAGTCTCTGAGCAAGTCCACCAAATCAGGCCCTTCAGGCGAAATTGTGGCCGGGGGGATTAGACAGTGGGTGTCAGGTGGTTGTGCACACAACCAGAAATGTAGGCACGTAGGGGACTTCAACTGACAGAAACCTAAGTGCCTACAAGGTTAGCGGGCAGCTAAGTGGAGTTTTTTGAGCTCTAACATCTGGATGTTAAGATTTAGGGCTAGATCCACAAAGGGATTGAGGTGCCTTATCTGCATATGCAAGTGTCTGTATCCTGGCCATTTAATTTTAATCATTTTTGCCTACAAGTAACTGTACTTGCAAAATGGTGGGCACACTTAACTGAATCCAGAATCGTGTAGGTCCCAAATTAGGGGCTGTTTTTAAGAATATGATCCAGACAGTCACAAAATAACGAGACATGGTGGAAACTCCTGATATTGCATTGGGATTATTTTCTCAGGGTGTACATGTAGAGGTTGAATGCTTTTGATAAAACTTCAACACAACACAAAATTACATCAAATTGTGATTATTCAATGGCTTTCTGAAGCTTCTAGTCAGGGGTGAAATGGCTTTCTAATTTAATCAGGATTGAGTACCACTGAAGCAGGTAAGAATGACAACATTTTAGAATGGCAGTGAAATAAACCAGGGTAAATTTAACTGAGAAAATATCTTTCAAGCATGTGGCATGATTGAGATGGAAGGAGCAGTAGTAAATGACAGCTTCCTGATCATAGGAGGAGGCAGATTCTGCTAGGAACAGGTGCTGACTAGAACTTATCTTAATCAATTCAACTCAAGTATATTAGAAAAAGTGGAGTCACCAGGATCAAACAAGCACAAAGTGTTCTTGTTTGATATGATCTGAAACTATGAATCGATACTACCAAATATACAAGAAATATGGCTTTAGACAGGCCACTTTCGAAGGAAGAAAAGTGAACAGCTGAGATAAAAAAAAAAGAAAAAACTCAATCTTTTTTGTCCTTCACTAGTGTACGTTGTGGTATTATATTAAGTTTAACAATGATGATAAACATGAAGGGTAAATGTGCACTGAATAATAATAGATGCGAACTGAATTCAGAAACATTAATATATTTTCTCCATCAATACACACAATTTTCTCCAATTAATGCTAATGGGATTTACATGCAAACAACAAGAGAATAATATACCTTTATAGATTAGCCCAGAAAAGACTAAGCTTATATTTAATACTCCAAGAAAAAAGAGCTAAGGAATATGGCCCAGAGCCTCAGAAGTATTTCAGTGCCTAACTTCTATTGACTTCAATGGAAGCTAAGGGCCTAAGTAGCTTTGAGCCTGATTCTGTCATCCTCACATTTAGTACCTTACTCTGTGAATAATGCCATTGAAGTAAATGGGACTGCACATGGAATAAGGTACTACTCAACTTGAATCAGGATAGCAGAATCTAGCTTTATAAGAAGAATAAAGGTCATGCTGGTAGGGTCATGCTGAAAAAGCATCCAGTACAGTATACTAGAAATGTGAAACAGATAACTTATCCTGCTTATATATTAAAGCAAGAGATCAGTTGATAACATTAGCACTTCTTAAAAGGAGTATTAGGAGGACCCAATTTTGCAAACGTGCTGTCCGGAATAGTGCTTAGCATTCTGAATAGTCCCATAGAAGACAACAGGATTATTTAGAGTGGTAAGGAATATTCCCAGCACTACTTACTTGCAGGATCAGGCCTCAAAATGACAGAAATAGAGGCACGTTCTTCATATCTTCCCCTACCAATGGGGAACTACCCAACAATAAGAAGCTTGGTAAAATAGGTGCAGTACCTTCCTTGAACCCTTTGAAAAGGTAAAATCATTTCTCCACTGCCTATGGAAGAAGCGGGGGTAGATCTATGTTTCAAGCAAAGCTGAAGAAAGCTTTTTGTTCAAATCAAATTGTGATCTGGAGCAATGATCTCATTCGGCCTTATCCTTCGGGAGTCTTTCTATTGACTTCAATGGGCATTAGATGAGGCCAAAGTTTAGAGTATAAAATTGTATCTTCTATTTAAAAAACATTTTATTGTACTATTGCAAATGTTTAACATTTAAATGAAATTAAAACATCTGTCATAACTATTAAGGGAAGGGTAACAGCTCTCTGTGTACAGAGAC